TCGAAACTAAATTCTGAAAGTGCAGTAGTGATCTTTGAAATTTTCCTGATGGAGCATCCATAGGTGTGATGTCTCTTACAGACAAATTGTATTCGACACACCTTTTACATAGGTGTGATGTCTCTTACAGACAAATTGTATTCGACACATCTTTCACATAGGTGTGATGTCTCTTACAGACAGGTTGTATTCGATACATCTTTTGTTGATGTAATGTTTTTTTTAAACAAGTTTTATTTTACATAATCGTTTGTTCTTGTCTTTTATAAACATAAATTTCTTTTATAAACATAAATTTTATCGATAATATTTATTGTTTTGGAAATGGCATTAATTTATTATTTTACAGTTTCAGTATGTACAACCTGCAGAATGTTCGTATTAAACAAATATTGCACTAACTGACAGCTCAAAATTTAAATTTTTATAAATTTTTTTCGTTTTTGTTACATATTGAGCAATGCTCCAATTTATTTTTGCGTGTACTTTTGTTGTGTAAAAGCGCTTGTAATTCCGTGCAAGCAACTAGACGTAAACTTTGCAGAAAAAAGTCAATGTTTTTTTGCATATCCGGCATCCTCTTAAGAGCTTCTGTTTCAATGCTAAAAATGACGGATTTGTATATATATATATATATATATATATATTATGCATCTATTGTTAAATTCATGGCATAGCGGTTATGTTGTGCTAAATATTAATAAACTTGGCCAGCTGGATTATTTATTCTTCTTAATTTGAGGTTATATGGGCCTATGTTTATTGTATAATAAAAGTATGCATATATTACGCAGCCTGCGACAAAACTGATCCGCAGATTCCGCTAAAAACTGCTGAAAAACGCGGAACGCTCGTGATTGGTTCCGCTCTCGTTCCGCGCTCTGCTATTTCGCTACATGGGCTTGCACCCTGAAAGCGATCACCAGGCTAAGATGCATTTTCGAGACGCCATCTAACAAAGTGCGCCTTTACTACGTTCATTAGACGCATTTTCGCGGTGGTAACGATAAAATACGCCTGGTTCGTGCCCGTTCTACTTCCGTACAATGATAGTAAGTTAGAAAAGGACAGACGTCCAATCTTATTCTTGTCTCACCACTGATGAGTAGACCGCGCGACGTAGGCACGAAGCGAGCTAGCGGCGATATCGCAAAACTAGATCATCTCTCATTAGTCTCGTCTTTCTCACGCTACGTTTTTTTCTACGTAATTTTACAAGAAAAAAGATTTGGAAACTGGACAATATAAGACAATTAATAAATATACAAGCTTAAACATGCTGCTAATATTTTTTTGCTTATTTCTCGGCAACCACAAAAAATATCGATGTGTTTCAAAGAAAACAAAGTTCTCCACAATTTATCCTGTTGAAATTCAGAGTTTACAATAACACTAATAATATTAAATAACGAACTGTATACTTTACGAAATGCAATCGCGACGCAAGCTCACGTGAAAAAGAAAACTGAGAAATTTAACGACCGGCGGAAGATTTATCGAGGCGGGTGATATGATTGCCCATTTTCTGTGGCGTAATCTCTGTGGCGCAGTCACAGTAGATATTTAAGCTTGTATATTTATTTATTGTTCTATATTGTCTAGTTTCCAAATCTTTTTTCCTTGCAAAATTACGCAAAACACAACGAGAAGACGAGTCTGATGAAAGATGATCTAGTTTTGCGGTAATATCGCCGCTAGCCCGCTTCGTGCC